AGTTTACCTCCGTTCATCTCTCTTTCCATTATTCGGAGTTCACTCCTGGTTAGTGGAGAAAGAACTGCTCGTACTAAAAGAACGTAATTCTTGAACTCGCCTCGTAGTCCCTGAATTGCGGGCCAAACTTTTTCCTCAAGACTTTTGTTTCCTCTATGAAAGTCTTGCCAAAAAATTTCTGACCAAGAATCACATCAGCAACGTTTTTCAATCTATCGATGATGTTCATACGATCACCTGCTGTAGCCATTGCTCCTGAAAAAAACTGACTGCGGCTATCAAAAACTCATGAATCGTGTTTTGGGGAACTCAGAATTCCACGAAAAATGCTCAAGGACTTGTGGAAAGAGGTTCTTCAACTTCAAGCTTTACCCGGAACATAGCTCGGAGTTATTGGTTCTCCAATATTCTTCGATATGATGTCCATATGCACGCCAGAAAATGTCGCAATTGATGATGGGATCTTTAAGACCTCGAATATTCCTAAAAGTTGAAAGGCACTACTCATTAGGATTATTTTTTGATGTGTTCACACACATGCAATAAATCTAATCTGAAAAAGTTAGAAAATGTTGTGTCACCTTTTGGCAACCAACTCAGATCAGTGCTCACCTAGACCACATATGGTGAACGCTTCAGCGATACCAACATCGAATTTCTCGTCAGCCAGGCGCTTCATCAGGGCATCGTCAGATATTAAATCTTAATATATATTCTTTGTGATGATCACCGATGTATGTTTCAATTTTGAAAGCACTGGTCACTGTAAAGCCACGCTTTTGACACTCTTGAAGGGCATAAGAGACCACCTTGCGCAATACTAGGAGTACTATCATCTGCATAGAATGGTACCTCAAAGTAACTTATACACCTCGGACCGCCTCCTTCTTTTCAGGTTTGGGCGGAATCCTCGCCTCCCTCCAGGTCTGGGCGGAATCATCCACTGCAATATTTCTAGCTTCTGAGGGGCCACTCCCAAAGCTTATTAGCGTTCAAAGCTGTTTTCGGTGTTTAAAAATTGCATCGTCCTGTTCCAAATGATTAGTGGGCGTGAAGGTTCCAATGTTGGGTTCCCAGAACCACCGTGGCGATGCAAAAATGGTTTTCCAAATAATCTCGCTTACCTTCGCAGAGATAGGTGAACGATGTTGTCATGTTATGTGCCATCTGAAGTAAAATATGTGTAAGTACATGTACGCTGAGGAATTCTCGAAAAGTTCTTTGATAGACATGTTATACGAATGAGAGTTTATGATGTTTAATCAGAGGGAATTTTAGCAGTTCAGAATTCCCAGGTGTGCCCTCCTTTCCCATCTGAAGGTTCTCCTTAGCTTGTGTCAGAGTCACAATACCCTGGACAATTTTCATGGACGATAAATCGAGAAGGTGTTCAGGGATAGAAACTGGGTGCTCTATTCTGGGGTGGGAGGCATATGGGACTCCACACACAAAACTGGGGCGCAGTTTGTCGACGGGGGGCATTTTGCTTTCCATAGATGTGTCGACCCATCTAGGTAGCCGTTTCTCGAGTTGACACGTTTTAGGATAGTGGCTAGACGATCTTACTTCAGCTTCACAAGAGTTCACAAGTTTTACCAGAGTGAGATTTGTAAACCGGAACTAGGGAAGCAATGATAATACAAAATGCCCCCCCCCGTCGACAAACAGCGCCCAAAACTGGGAATCCCAGATGACGACAAATTATGCCTGAGCCTAAAGAGTATAGGAACTATTGTTAGTTGACGTCGACGTCAGATAGACTTCCGCCGGGTGTCCTATTTGTTTCCCTCTGAAAACTGGCCCAAAATGCTGGTAGTCCAGAAAGCAAGCCCACCAAAAGTAACGGAGTCCATCTATTACCCATTAGTCGGCATTGATTTTCCATTTCGCGAATTGTTTAGTAATTACAGTAATGGCCCGAAAGGAGAAAAACATCGGCAAATTGCAAATTGTGAGAGAACATTCAGCTCTAGTAGTTTGATTTCATACCTGTAAGAGCTGATTTCATACCTGTAAGAGCCCGAAAACCGTTGGTTGCATCGTCCACATGTGGCTCAGCATGACTGATTTATATTTCATCATCTCATCAACTCGTGGATCGATGGGTGTTTTGATGATTTTCTTTGTTAGCTTCACTCCAGTCTTGTTCCCCTCCTCCGAATCCATAACCGGCAGCAGGAGTGTCTCAAATATGGATATTGATCTCACTCATCGAGCCAAGCTGACCGGGAATTCAACTCCCATGTCTTACAAGGGAAGGATGGTAGGTCGAAGTGGCCATTTGAAATGAAATGTATACCGGCTGAAAGGTCTTCGGACGGGAATTACGAAACCGTCTTCCATATCTGCTGCGGACCTCCCAGAAAGAAGTTACGGAGCTTTTTGGGGGAGACACTACAAATTGGCGGCGTAAGGCTGACGAGATCGTGGCAGCATGGCCGAGTGGATACGTCGTAGGCTCACGGATGCGTGGTCGAGTTTGGATCCTTGATGCGTGTGCTCTTTTGCATTTTTTCGAAAGTGGTCCCTGTGCACTTCAAAGCTATTTTGCATAATACTTGTCCCTGATAATGTCGTTATAATGATTCTGAACTGATGGAGCCATTGCGAACCATTCCATAGAGATCACTTCTGGCTGTTGTCTTCTTCTTTCTTTGATTTGAAAAGCATACACAACAAAAGTGCATTCCAAAGGAAGATTTTGCCTTCAAATGACTTTATTCTCCAAACGACATGACTGGAAAACGAATCCGTACGCACGAAGTTGTGCACGAAGATGAGTATAGTGGGAAAATACTTCCATATGAAGTGGCGTTGATGTGACAAACATGCTGCTGAAGATCGCGATGGGCAAGAGCTTCATTTACCACTCACATAATGTTGAATTATGTCTATCTCAAAGTGTTTTCGTATCTGCTGGAAGTTTTCGGCTCGTATGACAATCTTTCAGCCGGAGGTGATCTCCATGAAATCGTTCGCAATGGCTCCATCAGAAACACTACTTATCAGGCACCAGAGTTATACAAAATAGCTTTGAAGTGCACAGGGACCACTTTCGAAAAAATGCAAAAGAGCACACGCATCAAGGATCCAAACCCTCGACCACGCATCCGTGAGCCCTACGACGTATCCACTCGGCCATGCCACGATCTCGTCAGCCTTACGCCGCCAATTTGTAGTGTTCTCCCCCTAAAAAGCTCCGTAACTTCTTTCTGGGAGGTCCGCAGCAGATATGGAAGACGGTTTCGTAATTCCCGTCCGAAGACCTTTCAGCCGGTATACATTTCATTTCAAATGGCCACTTCGACCTACCATCCTTCCCTTGTTAGGGAGAATGATAATAGGTTGGAAAAACTTCTGCAACACTTTGGCCAAAATTGCTGACTAAACTTTCCTTCACTAAAGGGATTTCCAATTTCAAGGTAATCAACAACTAGGACAAATTAACGTTCCGCACAGCTTTTCGACACCATTTTTGCACAGCAACGGCAACTACTATCGAAAGAAGAGGAAGACCTTACTTTCGAGCAGACGTCGATTTCCAAACCTTTGATTTCTAAGGGTGCAGGAGGGACCAAAGTAGGTGGTAGTTAGAAGCTGCCAAGCTGTTGAATAAGCTGGGTACGATATCAATCCCTGGTCGAGACCTATGATCTTTTGGCGTAGCCTCATCACTACGTGCGGTCTTCTCATTGTCGAGAAGAGGAAAGAAAATGAGTGTTTCCGTACGAAATCAAGCGTGACGTCATATGTTTCGAACTCTGCTGTGCCAGAATCCTGCGACATATTAGGTTGTTGCATAAGTTCTTTCCCCCGACTTTTTTGTAAATATCTCAATAGCGAACCAGCCTGAAGATTAGAGGTATGCACCATCACCATCCACTACTCGACGCCAACGCTCAGGCAGCTTGTCGATTCCATCGTCCCAGAAGGACGGGGGCTGGGACCCGAAGAAGGCCACAATGCCGCACAATCACCACTGTGACATGGTTTTGCACTGGTAATTGTGCGGCATTGTAGCCTGCAAATGCAGGGTGGGTGAGTGATAGCTAGCATGTACACGTCATGCACACGTGATGACGAAATACCAACATCCATGCAAACGAAATACGGAAGGATCAAAACAGGGGGAAAAACTTATGCAACAACCTAATAGCTCTGAACTCTCACCAGTGACCGTGACATCTTTTCAATGCACGTCTGGTCTTGGCTAAGTGGGCCACTTCTGTGAGAGATCCTGTGAATGATATGTGCATGGTGCACGCAAAAAACTCCTCTCTTGTTTCTAATCACAATATATCACGAAAAAATCTTCCAATATGTACAATGAAGAGAAAACCCAGTCACCACCATTCGGTGCGCTTTGTCAGAGTGCTTCAACACTCCTTATCCCTGAGTCAGAGTAGGCGTGGCATTTGAACATGGCACGGAACTGGTTACTCGTGGAATATTTCCAGTCTGGGACAACTGTCATCTTGTTCTGTGTTGGACAGAGACACGACAACAATTGTGTCTGAAAATATCTCACCAGAAGCATAGACACCTTCAGGTTAAGTTGAAACATGCGGCCACGCCTACCCGATCTCAGGGATTTCGAGTATATGTGGCATCCTTCACGGAAAAATTTTGTAAAACGCCTGCAATAAACGTAGAGAGTATGTCCACTTATCGGCAGCAGAAACGTTCAAAGCATGCATTAGTTTTTCTCTGGAACAATTAGTGAAAGTGTAGCAGGCGTTTTCTTCCAGCCTGATGGTTATGGGATGCAGGGCATACCATGTCCCTCAAGAAAGTAAGTGCAGGCGAAATGATTGGTGCTGACTTCTTTACGCCGCAGGGTCCATTAGGTGCCGCTCCCGAAACCCGGACATTTTCGATTTTTTGGAGCAACCTTTGTTTGAATGGGAGGCAAATTCGACCAACGAAAAACACACTACCTTCACCGCAGTTCCTGCCAACCACCAAGCAGAGTGGTTGCCTTGCTTTCAGAAGCATTTTGGTATCCCACCGAGAAGGGCAGCTGAGTCATTGCAGAGGTGCTTTGGGAATCGTATTTCTACCGATTGAGGGATTGCTTCGAATGGCAATCAGAAAAGGCTGTCAGATCTACGCAAAGGCTGTGGTGGAATTCCCCAGCTAAGGTTTCAGGATTTCTATCATTCTCGGAATGTGTGACCCTGAGCTGCAGTGGAGTAGGCAAACATTGCTGGATTGTGAGACCAAATTTTGAGGATTTTCATTCTCCCTCTGCAGCTGACCACAAAACGGCTCGCTGGTTACCACAGCGTTGAGAGGAAGAAATCCCCTGCGGTAAACCCCACCAAACACATAGCGCCACCCAGAGACCTTCGTGGGAGTTACAGACGTTGTTTCAACCAGTTCCACCGCGGGAGCCTGAGAAGAAATTAATACCACAGTGCGCTCCCGCTTGGATATCGGTCAGCTCATGAGACTGACCGAAGTTCAACACTTATTTGAGGGACTGAGGACCTCTGTCATTTGTGCTTTTGGAACAAGTGAGAGTGTAGAGGCTAGATGGCAAGTTGGCACGTACGGATTGTTTTCATTCAAGAAAACGCAGATGGTCCAAATCCAAGGCAGATGGCTCCTTTAGACGAGGTTTGTATCCCATGTGGTTTCAAGTCAATAGTGAATGCGACCGCGCCATTCCAACGCCGTAGTGTGGATACAGGGTACAGCATCGTTGTGTCGAACCCATGGGGAGGATCGTACTTTTGCTCTGGGGAGGGAGAGGGTCGTATTTGTAAGACAAATTTATTTTGATAGTTCCCCCCCCCCCCGCTCGACAACTTTTTCGCCGACTATATACTCATCGCTCGTCCGTCGGCGAAGAAGCCGTGGAGGCGGAGGAGGGGTCGTGCCTGGACCCCATTCGAAGGGGGGGGTCGTACTCACACCGACATTTCGCACATCCCCATGCTGTGCCCTGTGTGGATAGCATCCTACCACTGGTGGAGATTCATATAGCGAAGTGTTTTGAAAATGATGAATTCATCTAGCGTTTTGGATATGAGATTAGCGAGTGCAAGGGACGGTAAAGCAACTATGGTTTGCTTACTCAACACTTCCCATAGACCACACAACCGTATCTTGGAATAGCTGCGGAAAGATCTAGCACCTAGGATTCGAAAAATGTCATTTTTAGGAGACCCTAGTGAAACAACAGCGTCCACGAAATGAAGGAGCTAAAAGAGAAGTGGAGAATTTTGAGCATTTTCAAAAGGAACAGTTTGAAATATTTTCACTCACCACGTCATGCCCAGCTTCAGTAAGGACATCAGCGATGACTCCCATGAAGTTTGTATGAGAATACCCGAACAGAGGCGAATAAACGAGGAACTTGTAGGCATCAGTGAATTGCAGAGAGAATACCAGCAAAATTACCCAGAAACGGCCCATACCTAAGATGAAAGAGGTATAATATATAACGAGTACCACACGACAGAGTAATACCACAGCGAGTGGATTAGTTTGAAGAGCTGAGCTCAGGTGAAACCTAACGCAATAGGTCTCGGTGAGGTATGCTGCAAATGTAGACTTACATCATCTTTCTGATGTACCCTCGTCATCCGGGCAGTTGATTAGGGCGGTCGTCAACGGGCCGCAGCGCGTGCCAGGAACTATTTGCTTTTTCCAGGCTAATTTAGTCATTTTTTCCAACTTTTCACTGTTTTGGCTACTTTTTCCCAGATTAGCAGCTCCTTATCTTCACAAGGTGGAAAAAATGACTAAATTAGCCTGGAAAAAGCAAATAGTTCCTGGCACGCGCTGCGGCCCGTTGACGACCGCCCTAATCAACTGCCCGGATGACGAGGTTACCTTGCAAGTTACGACCCGCACAGAAAAACTCAGCATAACCGTCAGGAGTGAGGCCTTGATGGGCCCAACATCATTTCAATAAAGATGGAGTAGTGCCTTACTAGATTCTTTTTCGATCAAGAAATGTGCCGCATATAGAAGAGGCAAACTTGCTCGGCGACTGCTCATGAGGGTGCTCATCAGCCTCACGTTTACTCATCAGTCAGTAACCGTAAAAGCGAGATCACTACAACTTGAGATTAAAAAAAGAAAAGAGTTTGAGAATTTTTATCGTTCCAGAAAACATGCGAGCATTGGAAAACAAGCAGTATCGCTGAAAAAGGAAGTAGCTCCGACCTCAAAACCGTCAATCCCGCAGAATTGCCAAGGAATGGTCTATAAATCAGAGTGAGACGGTCACGAAGTGTTGATAAGGAAGCACAAATAGGGCGAGACAATAACCACCACATCATGGACCCAGAATCTTATCGCTCTTTACCAATGTTGACACTCAGCACCATCAACATCTAGTAATCTGTTTTTATTTGTTTTTTCGTCGAATGATATCACATGCGTAAGCAAAGATCAGACACGTAAATGGTACACATCAGGTCGTCTTTTCAAAAGACACTTTTAAGCTTTTTCTAATCCGTGATAGGCGTCTGTAATACAATAATCTCCCTTATCACCGTCTCATCGCCGAAATTATCAAGCACACTACATTTTCCTGCACAAAGCATAAATGTGTAATAAATGTTCTTGAGGAGGTCTTGCAAGAAATATTGTCCATGTGGGACAATTTAGTGCGCGCTCACCCATCACTAGAGTCACTGCCAGTGACTCTCAAAATGCTTGGATTTCAAAGACAGCCCCTGCGCCCAACTGATTCTCGTGAAAGTGAGAGAATCTTAGAGATAAGACCACAGTACTTGAACAGGCGTCCTAGCTTGTTCAAGTACTGTGGTCTTATCTATAAGATTCTCTCACTTTAGCGGCTTCACAAAAAGTAACGGAGGCGCTGCGATTTCCATAAGTGCAATTCTGACGCCTCTCGGGTTATACTCCCCCTCCGAACTCAGCGACTATTTTCTGTCTCGATTTTAATTTTTGCAGCATGTTCTCGTTTTTTGTCCCACTGTTTGATGGCTAACATTGGAGGACGAAGTAAGGATTACTGAGCCAGAGGGTGCAATGCTTTGCTGGCATAGATCCAGTAGGTGCGGAGAGCTTTTACAGTGATGCTACCGGGGAGCCCCCAAGGGTTTCACCAAGATTCTTTAGCATTTTCCCTCAGTCATTAGCGGACTGCAAACGTAGTAGTTAGACATATCATAATATACAGTGCGCCACTATTCGTCTCCAAGTCCATACACTTCGCTTTCGCAGGAGCAGAGGAGGGTGCGACAAATCTTCATTTGTAACCTCCCGCGCTAGCGATAACGCCCCACACCACACCGCTTTTCGCAGAATCATTCCATTCATTCATTCGTCTCATTAAAGACTGCTCTCCTCCTGCCTTCTTCTAAGGGCACGAATACGACTGCCCTAAAGCGAGAATGTTCCACCAGGGGCTCAGTCCATGTACAGTAGAACGCAGGCCGCGCCCTTACTCCTCCGGGGAATGTATGTGGTGGCACGATGGCTCACCTAAGTTAAACCACTCCTTCGTCGTTCTCAAGCTTAGAGGAGTCAAAAGACAATCATTAGTCATCTTGGAATGAAACGTCGCCAGTATACCAAAGTCGCGCTGAAATCCCATTTCCAGTGAAGCTTAGCAAAATAGCAGAACTGGCCCCTGACACGGAGGAGAAGCAAGTCATCGCTTTCGTACACATTAAATGCCTGAGGATATGAATGTAGGGAGGATGGTGTCTTAGAGAAGGAGTAGCCCCTTCAGTCAGCGATTTCAACTCGTTTTGGGTGGAACTTCACGTGTTCTATATTCACTTCTAACCACGGAAGTCCGCCAACTTACCATGCAACTTTGACTGGAGACCTAGGTAGAACGACAGAGTCTATAAGGTTATTAACAAATATAGATAGCAAAACTGCAACCTGCATTTCACAAGCAACTTATGAGCAGGTAAAGTTTGTAATGGTACAGTTTAAGGTGTAGCGTGGAGAGGCTTGGTGGTGGGCTGTGAAGCATAAGCGAGGAACCGCATACGTCGAATCGAGTTGTGGTGGTTCAGTGCTAAGGTTCGACGTTCGACGACACGATTCAATGTATGCGATTCCTCGCTTATAGACTCTATCGATCTGGTCTCCTTCCATGATAAGTCGGCGGGCTTCCCTGGTAAGGAGAAGCCTTGACTTCTGGAAGAACTAGGACTCGAGAAAGTAATCTTAGCCCCTTTTCTCGGACTCCTTTTTTCACAGCTGTTCAGTGCTGATGCTTGAGGGCAGTTGGCACGATAAATCCCTAACAACAACTTTTTTCTCATAGCGGAACAGCTCACATAGTGGAACACCTTCCATTAATTCTAAAAATTATTGAAGCCATAAGAATAACAGTATAGCGGAGATGAGGCAAATGAGACCCTTACGGCGCGTGTGATCGCGGGTCAAATATCAAATCGTCTTCTGTCCAGGCCAACCAAATCTCTACCCTCGGGGGGTAAATTAGTACCCGATTCGTCTGGAAGGATAACACCTCTGACTTGGACACATCGCCGACAGCTGCACTCATTTTGTATGGGCCACATCCCATTCGATATTAGGGCACTACGATTGAACAGAAGTAGAGCCGTAGTGCCTTATTGAAGACGACGGAGCCGTAGGCAGAAAAAGCGAGCTGAAGTGGATCTGCTTGCAGAAATCGAACCTGCACTTGATTTCCCCTCCCCGCAATGCACTCTCAAAATCAAGCGGGTTCGATTGAAGGGAAAGTCAGCGATGACCTTGGGTATGTGAAATATATTAACCAGTCGGATCGCCCGGCTGTCGCCGCGCTCCTCCTTCTGTGACATGGCCCGGCTTCGCCGGGCCATGCGGATTTGCCGCGTGCTAAGTTAAGGATCGTTGACCAATCACACTGTTCAGAGGAATCTTCTGCATCAGCCAAGAACTGAAAAGCAGCGCTTACCACTACACTTACCTTTACGCTTACCACTATGCGCACTACCGCATTCAGCAGTGGAACCCTTTAAATGGCCTTCACTGAGGTTGCTGATGGAAGATAATTATGGTAAGAGTGATAAAGTCAGTTGCTGCTGTTCATAACATCTCTGTAAACAAACCACATGCATTTGGAATAGAGCTGGCTTAGCGGTCGTACACGATGTCGTTACTAATAAGCAGTGAGGAATGAGTTCTGTTGGAATCACTGAGATCGTTATACTTGAGTCATATCGATCGCATTGTTGTTGTGAGCGGTGAAGCGGATTTTCCCATGCTACCTTGTCAATTTTAGCTCCTATCACTTCCGTACCCGGCCAATAACACTCCGTCCCGTTATATCATATCACTGTATCGCCTCTCGGATCAGAGGTCCCACTGTTGCTGTAACCTGCGTTACGAATCTGATGACCCCCTTCCGAGGCCGCTTACCGTATCTTATCAACTGTTATCACTTTCTGTCGCCCGCCAATAATGTTCCCGTCCCACACCCTATATCACCTCACGAAAGAAAATATCACCTCAATGGGTGGATCTGTTCCCACTGTTGCTGTAACCTGCGCCACGAATTTGATGACCCTCCTCTTCCGAGGCCCCTTATCGGATCTTATCAACTGTTATCAGCTTCTGCCAGCCCACCCTACGGCATATCAGTACTTGAAATCATGGTCCCAGCCGCCGTTGCTGCAACTTGCCACGAATTCGGTCACCCTCCCCTTTTAAGGCCCCTTATCGAATCTTATCAAGTGTTATCACCTCCTGTCACCCAAGTGTTCCCGTCCTGCCATGTATATCACTTCTTGAAATCACGGTCCCGCAGCTGCTGCAACTTGCGCTACGATTTCGGTCACCCCCCCCCCTTCTAAGGCCCCTTATCGAATCTTATCAAGTGTCATCACCTCCTGTCACCCATCAAAAGTGTTCCCGTCCTGCCATGTATATCACTCCTTGAAATCACGGTCCCGCAGCTGCTGCAACTTGCGCTAGATGTTGGTCACCCCCTCCCTTCTAAGGCCCCTTATCGAATCTTATCAAGTGTCATCACCTCCCGTCAGCAGTAAAGTGTTCCGTCCTGCCATGTATATCCTCTTGAAATACACGGTCTGCAGTTGCTGCAAATGGCTACGATTTTTTCGGTCAGCCCTCCCTTCTAAGACCCTTATTGGGATCTTATAGTGTCATCAACGCTTCCCTGTGACCTCATCAAAAGTGTTCCCGTCCTGCCATGTATATCACTTCTTGAAATCACGGTCCTGCAGCTGCTGCAAATTGCGCTACGATTTCGGTCACCCTCCCCTTCTAAGGCCCTTATCGTATCTTATCAAGTGTTATCACCTCCTGACACCCACCAAAAGTGTTCCCGTCCTGCCATGTATATCACTTCTTGGAACTGTCATCCTATCTTTTCTGCGACGCTCGCTATGAATTTCGTGACACACACACACACACACACACACACACACACACACACACACACACACACATAGCGGATTAATATATAGTGGATGTTGATGAAGGTTGTGCAGTCTTGCAGTGGACAATACGCCTCGTGCCAAGTTCTCTCCCGAAGGATGTAAGGTGAGAGCACCAGAACATAGTGTTGTACCAATGGACGCCCACCTTTAAGCAGTGACTCCCTACTAGACTACCGAAGAGGCATACGAGTACCATAACATGGAACCTTCATTGTAGCTTGTGGTGCCGTAGTGTTCAGCGTAAAGGAATTAGCTAGCTGGACAGTTTTCAGCAGATTTTTTTTGATTTTATAATTCCGGTGGGGTTTTATCAGAGGTGTTCCCGTCATTAATTTTTGCACTTTCCTCCTGCTGGCGAGTCCTTCGTCACATTGCTTTCCAGATTTCATCAAAACTGCCAAATAACCTTAGACTCGCCCTGAGGTGACCGCCTGGTCGCCTGCGTGAGCGATGTCCAGGCGGTCGGCTACAGAGATGGTATCAACAGGGACATTACTGTAACTGAGAATGTATGTATGACGTTGCGCCTTTAGAAAGAGAAAGTCAAGTTGATCTGCAGTCGTTATTCACTCTAAGCCGGCATTTGTCTACGAAGTAAGGGGGAGCATCACTTATAGAAAGTAAACCATATTCTTCGAGAAGGAACAAAAATTTCTCTGAGCTTATATCCACAGTTTTCAGCCGTAGGCTATGAATCCCATTAACTCTCACATTGCTCTTTCAAAGTGGCGCCAACAAAGTGTCCGACATCTAGATCAGGCAACATTTTTTGAAACGATGCTGTTATGTGCTAACTATCGCTTTTACCCTATCAGCACTCAAAGAAAGACTTAATTTGCCAATACAATTAGACCAGTTTCCTGGTCCTTCGCCGCTCGCCTGGGCACCCCCGAAGGGCTAGGCCACAGGAAGAGGAGCGCGTCCGTCTCTGAGTCGGTTACAAGAAAATCTTCATTAATGCCTATCGAGAAAGGTACCATATACAAAATCACTAAATGAGCTCACTCTATCGTGCTTTTAGCTTTGAGGTACAAGCACCTCCTAACAATCGTAACAACAACAAAAGTAAGAACAATAACAACACCCGTCACAGCAAGGAAAATGTCAACCAGATAATACGCAATGAATGGGAGTTGTCGTCCATAAGGATCGAATTAGGCAGACGTCCAAATCTGGAAGGAATGAAGGCGATTTGAGCTATCTTGGGTTGCATCAGGCAAGGTATCTTATTAGTTCAGCGACGCATGTGGGTGGTAAACTGGAAAATAGTGCAAAGATGCTATATCACTATGGATCAGTGACTGCAAAAAAGGAGCGCCTCACTCAAATGATACTTCGAAGCAGCTCCACTGAAAGCACGTGTTTAACGCAAAACAAGCATCCATTTTAATGTCAAGAAAGTGGTTTAGTCTAATAGAGGCTGATGGCTGAGGCCAACTTCGGTGTGTGCATCCTTGGAGAGCCAGGGCCCCACTCCTCTCATATGTAGAAGGGTCAAGCTTTCCACATAATCAACTTACTTGGCGGCAAACTCGCTGTATCTGAAGTTGCTTGGCACTGATCGGCTGATTCAAAAGCGTTTCTGACAGTCGCTTAGCGTTGTTGGAAAAGCTGAAATGATCGTCAATTAGTGGGGTTTGCCTTCCGGCTTCTGGAGCACCTCGCTTCATCGAAGATCCTTTTCAAAAAAGTCTTGAGTACTTGCGGATGCTCCAGCGCAAACTTGTTCAAAATAATGCCACCGCGTGCTTGGCTAGCATATGGGCATTTCTGGACTGGTCAGCGAAAACCCGTAATCCGGCAGCAGTTGTTAACATGCTTGTCGGTGAAATGTCTCACGGTATGGATAACATTGATTAACAGAAGTTTTTGAGCGCAGCTTACCAGTATTACAGGTTTGCCTAGCTCAGTGGTGCTCCCCAAACCTCCGTGAGTGATGAAGGCGGTCAGGCGAGGATCAGCTGAATGTTGTCAGCTCACTCATCATCGTTTTCTTCCACACGTATTTTCCATATTAGAAAACTTTTTGGTTACAGCAATGCTCATACCAGATTCTGGAATGGCTTTACTCTACTGACAAAAACCTTCATTAGTTTTGTCCGAGACTTTTCGACTCACTTAGCAGCAAATTCGCTGTATTTTATGAGAAGCAAATTCGCTGTATTTCATGAGAAGCGGTTTTGCAGTGAGTGGTTGATTCAGAAGCATCGGACAGAAGCTTGGCGTCATGGAAGAAACGGCAACAGTCAATATTAATTTTTTTTTCAATGACAGAGACAAAGATGGGAACATGAAAGAACAAAAAAAACTAGCTTAAAGACACAGAAGTAGTCATATCACCTTGAGGTGTATGACTATCACCCCAGATGTCGAGTGTGTCGTGGTCCCCTCGCCCAAACATGCCCAGGAATGGAGATACAGGGCCGTGAAACACGCTAATTCCTCCATGCTCCGCCCACTGCCTTTTTACGGCGCAGATTCCCGCCGTTTCAACTGATATATCCGTGTAAGTGCGCCTGTGCGTGCGGGCCTCCTTGGCAACTCTTGAAAATCCTTTTAATTGCGCTCTCAATAACAAGGAAACGCAATTTTTTCCTGATCGACAGGGCATTGGAGGTGCTACAAAGTAAGAATAGAAGATGATGACAAAGGGCAGAACTCAAGAGCAACTCGGCTGCATCTGCAGTATCCATCAAGGGCCGCGCATCGGAAAAACCCCTAAGATGGTGGATATGTCGGGAAAGAGGGCAAAAAACTCCTACTGTGCTCAACAGAACGTCTTTGAGCTTACTAGTGTTGTCGGCTACCCCAAGTGTGCAAGCATCGTGGTGTTGCCGAAGGCTCCATTAGTAATAAAAAGTGCCAGATGCGGATCAGCTGAATTTCTGTGTTTCAAAACGAAGCATCATCACTGAAATACGTTCCACACTTATGCCATTGCCTAGTTGATGTAAAAAGGTGTATTGTCCGACACTGACCGTTTTTCACGACTCAGTCACAGTGTGGAAAGGTGACGACGCCTAGAATTTACTGCGACTTGATAAGCTCTGTGGTTCTCCTGCTGGGACAGTTGCTGCAAAGAAGGAGAGATGTACTCTTGACAAGAATCGCAAAATAAGAGCTTAGAAAATTCCTTTTGAGTAGAGTATCGCTCACCCTGCAGAGAGATCCAGTCTTATTCGCTCTGGACGCTCGGGTAAAGGCTGGGTCTAGCTCGGTGCTAGCTACTATCCCACCGATTGCAAAGGTCTTTCAGCTTCCACAAGTAGTGGAGAATAGGCTGACACCAAACCAAATCTAGCTCACCCATCTGAAAGGCTCTAGCACCTGCAGCAAACTGCAGCAGGTTCTTTTTTCATCGGCTTTATTTTTCTTTTAGAGTCGGCGTACTTGTGCTTTCCCGATTTGATTTGATCATCAATCCTAGCTGTTAAACCAATTTCTGAATCACATGACTCCAAAATGTTCTGTGGAAATACGCATACAATTTCATCCATGGTCTTGCCTTATCTTCAAGAATAAGCATTTAGAATAACTCATACAGTCAACAGATTAAACTTTTTAGACCTTAGATTATACGATCTCGCAATTTTTTATATCCTTTAACAACACATTTTCATAGACATGTACATACTCGTAGGGTTTTTTTAAAGCTCATTCTTTCTTCACTTTAACCCTCAATGAGCAAAACATCCTCATAATTTTTACAACGACAACAAGACTAACAACAACGGCAGTAACAACAACAAATAACAGATCGATCAGATAATACTGGAAGAAAGACAGCTGCCTTCCATAAGGGTCGAGATTCGGCAGACGTCCAAATCTGAAGCGAATTAACCGCGTGTATGATAAGGATCAGTGAACTCTGGAAAATGTCGAGGACTCCCTAGGATACTTGCCTAAAAAGTACTCTATTTACTGTGAACTTTAAGTTGAAATTTGTTCAGGTAGGTGGAAGACTTTATTATAGAATGGCCTGGCCTGACGTTTCGACAGGATCGTCGTCCTCAGAGGCCAGTCCACCACCACATGAGCGGAACGATGCCACTCGCTGTTAGTTGTTAGTTAGTAAGTTGTTAGTTATTAGTTGTTTTTCACTAACTGAACAACTAACAGCGAGTGGCGTCGTTCCGCTCATGTGGTGGTGGACTGGCCTCTGAGGACGACGATCCTGTCGAAACGTCAGGCCATTTATAATAAAGTCTTCCACCTACCAACCTCTTTGGCAGAACAAATTACAACTTAAAGTTCACAATAATGCCGAGGTTTTATGAAGAGAGAAGCTGGACTCTATCACTCTATTTATGCTCCGCTTCATGAAAGTGTCACAGTCTTCTCTCCCTGGCCTTCAATATGTTCTTGGTGAAATACAAGCAACGTAGGGGGCTGGACAGCTCTACGAAGCAGTATAGGCCGCGCCATCATACTCTCGACACCGATATTGTCTAGCGAAATATTAGAGCACGGGTGCGCGTCCCCTAAATCATTTTCTGTCTGCTCCCAATAATGAAAAACAATTTCACAAAATTCTGTGAAATCATTCAGTACTAGTTGAGTGACTGATTTTTCGAAGAGGAACTTGCTTCGGTCGAGTTGCAGGGTCAATTCCTCAGAGTCCCAGAAATACCGGATTTGGGTTACGAGTAGTCACTTTGAGTGTTTTCTTCAGACACCACTCTTCACCTTCTTCAAGGGAGGCTATTGAACTACGCTTCTAGTTCTATCTATGCTATAGCAGGGTTCCAACAGCAACAACTCACTTAGCTGCGAATTCGCAGTGTCTGACGAGAAGTTGTTTTGCACTGATTGGTTGATTCAGAAGCATCTGCGACAGCCGCTTGGCATTGTGAGAGAAGCTAAAACAATCACGCATCTGTAGTACAATCGATCTATTATTAAAAGGCATGCTGTTTCCACCACAATAATGTACTGTATTTCATAAAAGTATGGTAATGTTCTACCTTGCGTCATTGAAGATTTTTTTGAGAGCTTTCGTGAGCATCTGAGGATGCTCCAGAGCAAACTTAGATAGAACGATACCTCCACCGTGTTTCGCAAGCATATGGGCATTTCTTGTCTGATCAGCAAAAAGAGGGACCTCAAAGTAGAAAAAATTAAATTATATTTATTCTGAGAGTATTGAGTACTAGTACTACTACAACCTACCAGTATCGCGGGCTTTCCCAAATGAGCGAGTTCTGTGGTGCTGCCTAAGCCTCCATGAGTGATGAAAGCCGTAAGGCGGGGATCGGCTGAATTGCTTTTTGTTACTGCACGTATCAATCTTTCACAATTTTCATATCTTTTAGATACCCCACTCCTTATCAAACGGGTAATCTTCCCTTATCGTGAAGATTATCGTTTAAAAGGATTACACGTAAACTACAAGAAGATAAGTGGAACTTCAGCGAGTGAGTGAAAAAATGACTTCATCCTTCGAAAGTCTTCTCTTACTTCAAAAGTGAGACGGCTTTGATTATCTGAAAACCTCACACAGACATACGCCTATTACTCTGGCATCTGTTTCAGTTTTTTGCTTCTCGTCAGTTTAACTATGGAAGCCACTGTGGATTTTCCTGTAGCCGCCACTCTATCCAGCATTGGTTTTTCGAAATGATCTCATACAACATTCAAACGAAAAATCTTATATCAAATGGTAAACCCTGTCAGAAACATATCCACAATGGGTAGGAATCAAGATGAACTATTGGTCACTTTGTTTTTGCGAGTAATTTAATCATCCCTAACCGTTTTGTTCACATATTCGTTCACAGGAAGAAGTCCACGAACCCCTTCCATATCAGGATCTCTTTTAAGATACGGTCCACTTTCTCTCTTACTTTACCTTACTTTCTCGCTTGTTTCCATTCTCAGTCGTTTATTGTTTATCCGAGCGCTGCACTGTTACAGGTGATGAGCAGAGAGGGATTAGAACTTGTGAGAAACACGATATGCCCGAAAATGGCTCTTTCCACATACATTATGATAGAAAGAAGAACCCCAACAATGGTGAGCGTGTATATTCCACAATCCCTCTTTTTCTCTCGATTTCCGCCTTACGTCAATAATTTACTTACCGAGAAGAGCGTTCTGTGGTACCCACGTGCTAACGTGAACATTCTCGAGCTGAGCAGCTATTTGGGAGCCTTCGGCTTCGTATTTCCATATAAACGTTGTTTCAGGCATGCTCTTGAAAACTTCAAGGAGATTTTCTCTTAAAGAAGCGGAACTTGGCAACTTTTTTCTTTTCTCATGTGCTCCATAACCACCAATGTTCGCATTTACTCCACGATTTGCTTCGTCATTTTCATGCTAAAATAGCGGCACAAAGGAACTCACTTGTACTCATCTGGCATGTAGATTGCCTTGGCCACTGAACCGAATGAGACCAGTACAGTCGTGTTTCTCTCGTTCAGTATGCTATCCCACTTCTGCAAATTTATGTCTACCAAGAAAGCTGAAAGCAGAATGGAAGGACTGACAACACTTGCACCTTTGACAGCTCATTTTTCTTGGGATCAATATGGACAGCGATTCCACCAATAGGTACAGTTTTATGGAGCATAGGACGAGGATAGTCCAGGTATGGATTTGAGTTGGTGAACACATACGACGTATCAGCGAGAATTTCCTAGCAAGAAGATTTTTGAGTGAGTCTCTTTGATTGCTCATGAAAGAACAAAACAAAGTAACAAAGTTCTAATTTAACTGAAGGTATTTATTTGGAGGCTGTTAACCACCACTCATTCCAGGGCAAGCATGTTCAACATAGTCCTTTCGGAAAAACTGCTGCTAAGGAATAAAATCCTCATCCATGCGTGTTTTCTTCTTCGAAGATTAACAAATTATTCATTGCGTCTGTTTCTGTCTTTCGAAGATTCACAAACAAGAAACGATGAAAGGAATAAGACTGATTTTCCAACTGGGAACACCATTAGGTGTTAGGAAGCCTTCATCTGCAAACCTGCTATTTTTTCATCTCAATAGCGTTCCATGGATGTTGGAAGCTTCATTTTGTTGCAGAATAGGCTCACCAGAGTGGAACAAGTTTGCGGTTGCTAAACCAGTTTTGAGCTAACCTCATAGTTCTTAAATTTTGGGCCGAACTTTTCCTTGAAGACATGGATTTCTTTTGTGAACAAATCCCCAAAAAGTTTCTGCGCCATGATCATCTCGGCGAAGTTTTGTTTACTGGCGATCTCGACAGACCCATTTGATCATCCCACTAGTAGCATTCCTCCTGAAAAAAATACCCTCTATTGCTATAGGTTATCACGAAAGAACAGCCACAGACAAAGCTTGAGCAGTAAATCCTAAAGTCAATATTGAATGGGTTGAGCAGAGGCGATTCTTCAATTGGATACAGGGTGCAGCATCGTGATGTGTGAAATGACGGTGTCAAAACGACCCTCCGCCCCTCGGCAAAGGATCCTGGTACCCCAATCCCATTTGCTGCTCTAATTGTTTGCTCTGACGAGCAAGGATTAGATATGTAACGACTCGCAAGCGCTTGCGGCCGCGTTATGATTCCACGGCAAAATAGCGGTGGAGACTGCTGGCCGGGTGGAAATCGCGGGGCTATTTCTGAAAGTGATAGCTTTCCTTAGGCCTTGGGGTTTTGACAAACGGAAGGCGGCATTCCAAAGCAATGTCCCTGCTGCTGCAATCTCTGCCTACTCGCAATCTGAATCTTCTCCGTCGTGAAATATTTCGGATGGGTTACGGACGCGTTAGTGGTGAATCGCGAGCGGGTTTTTATGTTTCAGACGAGAATAACTTCTTTCAAACAATCTTTTGCACACAAGAAAACGCCATCAGAACCTTTAATGATTCGTCTCTCCGGAAAGCACTACACATTTTCGTTTCCTAGAGACTCAGTGATTCAGAAGATATTTTAGATGGGTCACCCTTGTGCGGCATTCTGAAGCCACTCAAAAGGCTCGACTCCATCTGGGCCATTGTAACACTCATTCGCAAACTTCAAAATACCTTCAGAACACATCGCGTTGAACTGAGTTAAAGCATAATCTATTAGTTATCATCGATCGATTTGGTCCAAGTGTGCGCCGCGCACTTACGCTTCTATATAGAGGTGAGGAATGGTGTAACTTCTTCTGGTTTGAGGTGATTTTTGTCCATGCAGGCAGATATCTGGTTGCGGTGGAAAGGTCTCTACGCACAAATCTGTTTGAGATATTATTTAGTCATCTACGTACTTACGAGTTCATGCTAACTATTGATATTGCTAATCAATTTTTTATTATTTTGTAGTCTTCCTTACATCCGGGTCCTCTGCAGCTTTCCGTCCGCTCCATCAAACTTAGCGATGACACTTTTGTGCTGTTTGGTGCTCACTGACCCTGCTTTTGAGACCCCACCCCAAACCCCAACAGCGAAGTACGATCATTTCCCCCTGATGGATTTCGCACAAAGATGCTGTACCCTGATTGTATGTGCCCACCAATCCGCGTAAATTGAAGGAACGTTCCACTTTTCATCATCTCCATGTATTGGCTTTTCAGGAGTCCTTGTCTGCACTCAC